CATACGCATTTTTATTCTTAGGTAATTAAGGAACAATATACATAATACCTCCTTAAGCTTGGGTGGACAGAAATCAATGAAGGGTCAGACAGTGAGTGACCTTCTACTCAAGGCTTGTTAAGGAGTGGTTTCGTTTATGCGAATAACATTGATTATTTCACTTTATTGGGTTTTGGGGTCGTGTCTTCCGAATTAGCCATGCAGTGGGAGAGGCCATGGGTTTGGTGGTGGATTTGGCAGTATATATGGCAGTCTAACTGTTAGTGACTCTTGACTGTTAAGCCGGAGGTCGTGGGTTCTATGCCCATCACCAATAATTGTGTGATGAGCATGGTCATTTGTTCTGTGTCTGGATGTAATTCATCTATATGTATTTCATTTATTTATACATCATGCACTTTTAGTGCATTGGCGGACTTAATGCCTAAGGCATTCTCTACCAGTCAACCTTTGGGTGATGCAGAGAGATCAGGAAGTAGGTGCATTTTGGTTAAAGTTTGATAGTAGTTATAATATCAAATACGCGTACATAAACCTATCATACCCTAGAACCCATACACATAATACATACGTACATACATATACTCAAATACATAAACACATACATACCTAAATAAATACCATTAATAATAGTAGATGACAATCATACGTCAGTTGATTCTGCAAAATTGTTGTTTTTGCAAAATACTGCTTTACTTTAGTTTTGAATGGGAAAGTGTTGGTGGCCATCCTGACGTCGAAGGAAGGTCATTCCAGAGAAGAATGGACTGCACAATAAAGGATGAGCCAACAAACTCAGTCGTGTTGGGGGGACAACGAAGAAGAAGGTTATTAGCGCACCGAAGGTATCTGTCGTGATAACTACATAAAAGTTGGAAGAAGGAGTTTAAATATGTTGGCGAAGATGGGTTGTTTAAGATAGAGTATAAGACAGTGAGAGCTCGTAGTTTTTGGCGTAGACGAATTAGTAGCCAATTGAGATGCGAACGGAAAGCGGATAAATGATCAAATTTAAGGAGATTATGAACAAATCGAATGCAGTTATGAAGAAGACGGTCTAATTTATCGAGAAGATCTGCATGCTGTATTAAGTTATATATAAGTGTGTTTATCATCAGCCTAGTTACCATAGCACAGGCTCTGCCTAATTTGGCGATCACACGACCGTCTGCGAGGTTACTGATATTATAAAACTGAATAGATAGTTTGTTTGGTTAAATGCGCTAATCTCAGGAAGTCCTGGTTCGATTTGAAAAATTTTATGTTATGAAAAATTTGAAAAATTCTTTTAGTACTACATAGCGTCCATTTATCTAGGAAGGCCATAGGCTATATAACATTACGCTACGACCAATAGAAGCCAAGCATCAATGAAAAACGTTGCAAAATACTGCTTCACTTTGGTGAAAGTGGGAAAATTTATTCCTCTTGGGAGACCCAGATGTAGTAACACGGGTAGTTTAAAATATATTTCAACGTCATTGCGTGTTTTCGTTGGATCCAAGTGCCCTAGATATATTGGCGTCGTAACTGTAATGACCTTTCTCTTCAAGGTCAGGGTCAACTGATGTTAAATAACACGAGACGAAAGCTCGTTTGTGATATTTATGGAGGTACTGGGTTATTTTACGTATGATACATATATATTTATGTAGAACGAGGGTTACCGTAGATGTCTTTCTGAAGGTAAAAATCTGATGATGAATAGGCCCAATTCAGCAGGTTTTTGGAGTTTACTCCTTAAGAATCGATTTTATATAAGGCGCCCGGTATGAAAAAAAATATGAAGAGTAAAATTTTGTGATCGAATGACCTCATTGCGTTTTTTTTTTGTGCAACCTATCGTAAGTATACAAGTCGTCCCTTTCACATTTTTAGTAATGTGTACAGGTACAACTTGTATACTTATGTGCAGCCGAATTGTTCTTAAGGAGTAAACTCCAGTCGTGCGTTTGTGCTGACATACACTTTTATGTTTTTTATGTTAACTTTCGCTTTTAGGCAGGGCATTTTCTTCAACTTAAACTTGACACAAACCCTATACCAACCCGTCTGGCCAGCGTGGTATAGTATAGGCCAAAACCTCCTTTCTGAGGAGAGGCCTATGTCCAGCAGTGAACTATTAAAGGCTGTTGATGATGATGATGATTTTCTTCAAATTTGAATGAGACGACATTAAAAGTACCTATACTCTTTCAAATAAAAATAGGTTTTTCGAATCGGTTTATAAATGTCGAAAGTTCTGAGGTAATAACCATTAACAAGCTGATTATTGACAAAAAAACCCGGCCGCGTGCAAATGTAAACATACTTAAAATTAACTAACCGGTTATTTTAATTTTTGGAACGAAGTTCCTTATCGCGCGTTGTGAAAGGGGGCTAGACGGAAAAAAATCTTACGAAAATTGGTCACGACACTTTTTATTTTGAATTGTCACTTGTCAGTCATTCAGCGCCATCTATCGAATAGTAAAATTAAAATTTATGTTCTTAGGTTGAGCAAAAAATATTGTATTCGACATCATTTCTCAAGGAGATTTTACCAATGTATAAATTGTTTTAATTAGAAACCAACTGAAAAATATGTAGGTAATAGCCGCTTTCATAGATGGCGTTGTAATTAAAATCGTGTCTAATCAGTTTTACTCGATCGTAACAACTTCGTTCCTATCAGGTGTCCCACGACACCACACGGCTTTTTTGTAATGTATATATATATACCCAGTGTCACTCTCACAGTTAACACTGTTTCGGTGGTGCAATGGTAGCGTTTGCAACTGCTGTGCTGAGGTCTCGGGATCTATTCCCGGGGCGGACTAAATGTTTGTATGATCTGTAAATATTTGTTTAGGAGTTGTATTTTCTATGTATAATATATTTGTATTTACAGCTACAGCTAGCTTTATAGCGAATATAGCAATTACATTGCAAAATTCGTTTGTGAGTACAATACATTTAAAAGTAAAAAAAGAGAAATATTAAATATTATAAAAAAAAGTATATAAGTACTCTATCAGTTAATCTAGCTTTCATAGTACAAGCTCTGATTAGTTTGAAACTATATGGCATTGGGTGTCAGATGTCCGAAAATATAAAAAAAAAGGATTTAACGACACCTAAGCCAAAAGCCATCAAGCCGTTTAGAAATACATAAACTCGAAGAACAGAATACTCCTTCTGGCGCAGTTGGGTAAAAACATACAACCGAATTGAGAGCAGCACTGCAAAGAGAAGGAAAACTTGACACAAACCCTACCATACCCACCCGCCTGGCCAGCGTGGTATAGTAGGCCAGAACCTCCTTTCTAAGGAGAGGCCCATGTCCAGCAGAGGACTGTTAAAGGCTGTTGATGATTATGATGAGAACTTCTCCTTATCTTGAAGTCTGTTAAACCAGTTTTTTTTCTGCCTGTATTAATCAGCACTGACCCGACATGAATTGTTTGCCCAGAAACCTGTTTCGTTATGAGTGTAATCAAATGAACGATATGAATTAGAACATATAACAAGAATAAAAACATACCTATACTAATATTATAAAGCTGAACTTAGTTTGTCTGTTTGTTTGGTAGAATAACTATGTAAATATTAGCTTTTGTCCGCGGCTCCGCCCGCGTGTACGTCAGTTGTATCGCGGTAAAAAGTAGTCTATGTCACTCGCTGATAATGTAGCTTTACATCGGTGGTAGAATAAAATTGGTTTAGTGGTTTAGGCGTGAAAGCGTAACAAACAAACTCACTTTAACATTTATAATATAACTAGCTGAGACCCGCGGTGTTACCCGCGTTTGTTGTTATAACCGCGGGCAACGCCGCGGGGCGAAGCTAGTCTAAAAAAAGTAGCCCAAGTTACTCCTTATGTCATCAGCTATCTGCCAGTGAAAGTCCCGTCGAAATCGGTCCAGCCGTTCCAGAGATTACCCGGAACAAACAGACAGACAGACAAAAATTGTAAAAAATGTTATTTTGGCATATGTACCGTGTAAACATACATATGCATTTAGTAAAAAGCGGTTATTTTAATATTACAAACAGACACTCCAATTTTATTTATTTGTATAGACTAGCGATTTGCCCCGGCTTCGCACGGGTGCAATGTAGATACTGCTAATACTACTAACGTGGTGTCGGTGTGGAGTAATTAATTATACTATTGATAAGATTATACTACAGGACATCTTTATATGCCCACTCCACTCCTACAGCTCGCTGCCACCCGGGACGGACGTACGGCCCGACACGTATTTTAAATCTCTGATATCTACTAATATACTCACATTACTTCTAAGCTGTCAAAGGCAATTTTGGTCTACATTAAATGCACAACGTATCTAACGTATTTATTCAGATAAGGAACAATACTGTATTGTTCAAAATAGCTTCGTAAATAACCCATCATTTTTTCGTAATATGTAAAAGATAAAAAGCGTTTACCGTGGGTTATCCAGAACATAGACATATACCATGACGGACTTTTGTGTAGACCTTTTTAAGATATACAATTCCGTAGTACATTATTTTGATCTATCTCGTAAGGTTTAGCCAGCGTTTGCAACGTAAGCGCACAAAAACATGTTTTTTTATGACTTTACATAACTAATCTTTGAAATTCTCGGATTTCCACTCTTGTAATATGTATGTATTGTACATATAAATCCGCTCTTTGAATCACTCTCTCTATTGGTGAAACCCGCAATAAAATCCGTTGCGTGGTTTAAAAATTATAGGCGTACAAGAAAGAAATCCGACTTCATAACATTCTATGTAACGAAGTATACTCGTAGGTACTAGAATTATCTGACGTTTCGATTGTCTATGGTTCAGTTTAAATTCTCTATAGTAAGTAAAATAAAACTTACGTACTTTTTTCTTGTTACAGGTGTCGAATAATGGTGCTTACCTAGTCTAATGTATTTAAGAAGACAGAGACAAAAAATAGTTAATGTATCAAGTTATTAGAAAAAAAATAGTTAAAATTTATTTATACGTAAGCGAACAAGATGGATCCCGGATACTTCGATGTCGAAAGGAAACAGAATCCACGGGAAAAAGCAAATATATTTTCCAAGTTTTCATTTTGGTATGTATTCTTTTAAAACTATTGTGAAATGAAGAAGAATGAACGAATGATGTGAGTGAATGAATTACACCAACAAATATGACAAACGTTAGTTGCAAGATATTTTTGCTAGACTATCATACGGGTCAAGTGATGGTAAGTGACTACCGTCGCCTACCCGCAACTCAAGAGATACAAGTACGTTACCACTCTTTCTGCACCCCTCATAATTAGTGGAAGGGGGAGGGGGGGGGGGGGTTTGTTCCCCTTGTATTTGCTTAGCACCAGTTTTCTATGAGGCTTGGATATCACTCCGGTCGAGCTGGCTATAATGACTGGCCTGTTGGTCTGCCCTAACTGCCCTGACTGCCCTGGACACCCAGGACAAATAATGTGTGTTCTGTGTCTGGGTGTAAATTATCATATCTATAATATGTATGTATGTATTTATAAATATTTAAGTACGTTTATCAGTAGTCTGGTTACTATAGAACAGGCTCTGCCTATTTTGGGATCAGAACGCCAATTCTCGTAATAATAAAAGTTCGCTATCAATTCAGTTCCGATCAACTTTCGATCTCACAACTGTCATAAAAGGTATTTTCGTAGTAAAGTATTAAACATCCAACGTTGTCTGTAATGTGATTATATCGTATTGTAACCGAAAATTGAATCGGTATTCTGTTATTCTTAGTAATACTTTACTATTTTACTACGAAAATACAGTTGTGATATCGAAAGTTGATCCAACTGAACTGTGACCGAACTTTTAGTACAAGAATTGGCCTTCAGACTGCCGTGTGTGAGATATGTAAAGTTATTATAATATACTAGCTGACCCGGCAAACGTTGTATTGCAAAACAAAAAAAAATTAGGGATGGGTCACCCTTACCATTTAGGGGTATGAAAAATAAATGTTGGCCGATTCTCAGACCTACCCGATGTGCACACAAAATTTCATGAGAATCGGTCAAGCCGTTTCGGAGGAGTACGGGAACGAACATTGTGACACGAGAATTTTATATATAAGATATCCGTGTGGTGACGGATTAAGAATACAGAGTGTCCAAAAGAATACGGAGTCACCCCTATTCACCCCGTTGGTGTCGTAAGAGCCGACTAAGGGAGCAAACTACGCAGGACAACAGCACTGCGAAGAGAAAGAAAACTTGAAGCAAACCCAATATCAACCCGTTTGGACAGCGTGGTATAGTAGGCCAAAACCTCCTTTCTTAGGAGGGGCCTATATCCAGCAGTGGACTGCTGAAGGCTGTTGATGATTATAATATAGTAAACTGTTACATTAAACGAGAACCTTTGTTTTCAGGTACACACGACCCATATTTGTGAAGGGGAGGAAAGGCCAGCTCAGTATATCAGACGTATACAGGTTAGTAAATAGCTTATAACATGGTATTGGGGAAATTATCCCGAAAACGAAGACAGACGATAGTACCTATGATACCAAATTCAAATATTGGACGATAAGGACACATTTCATAGAATAAAAAAATTGTTTGTAATTGTCTTTTATGTAGACTCTACAGGCATAGATCAACACATACACAATGGTGCTTATTCTGTTGTGCGAAAACTCTCTTTTATTAAATATTTTCTCTAGCAACCACTTAGTCAGGTTGTCTTTCGATATAGACCTCCCAAAGTTCCTTCCAGTTATCTCTATCTCGAGCTATCCTTCATCCTTTCAGCAAATCATCTGTTATTTTTTAATAGATAGCATATAAAACACGCCTAATTTGCAGGTGTACTCCAGGACACAGAGCTGCTCCAAGAGGAGATCAATTAGGTGCCAAATGGAAAAAGCAATTAGAAAAACAAGGTAAATGATACTTTAAAATTAAAATAAATAAGGACTAAAATAGGCTTAAATAATGCTGGTGCAAATATTGACCATGTCTGTTACGTCATTAATCTATGAAAGAACTGACATCTGTCCATCGGTAGGTATCATTATTATTATTTTAGTAAAGGAAACGCCCGCACTAAGATATATTCTGTGTCGCGGGGGCTTACTTCGAAATGGACACAAAGAACACCCAGAATCAGAACTACAATTTGTGGATCACACAAAGTATTGCCTCATGTGGGGATCGAACCCACAACACTCAGCGCAGTAGGACGCGGTGAGGTGACCGCTTAAACCACTACACCATCCGTGCACTCACTAAGGACCCGAAGTTCCTTTCGCTTTTGTTAGATGTTTTCTATAAAATATTGAAAAGATGTGAACGTCGACGCGCCAACTGAAGTGTCGGAAAATAGTCTTGTTACACATTTTTCGGTCTCGCTCCCATGAATCAGAGCGTTAAGGAACTTAGTTCCAATAACTACATACTGGTTTTACTTAATATATCAGATGCGAGTGTTTTAGCGGGAAATTTAAAAGTAACTGAAGTTTTCAATAGTTTTTAGTGATTTTTTCAGTTTATTCTAGTTATAAAATAAAAGCTGAACTGACAAGTGGTTTTAATCAAATGTGCTCTGTTCATTCCAGAGAAGGGCAAAAAGCCGTCTCTGCTCGTAGCCATATCTCAAGTTTACGGTCTCAAGTTCATGGTCGGTAATGTAATATTCGCCGCAGTGGATGCGGCTCTTAGGTAAGTAAAAATAAACTTTATTCTGAAACTGTTTCGGTTCTATTTCGTTTTTGAACTCGCGACACAATATCGAAAGTATTTTTAACACACTCATGTCTATCCACAATGAACTCCAAAACTACTCGGCCAATTTTGATAAATTTTTCCATTCTGTGTAATTTGGTTCAATTTAAGTTATAGGAGCATTTTTATCTCGATAATTCACTTCAAAATTTTACACACATCTAAGTTAGGAAACAAGCATGCTAGTTTTAAAATTAGCCATCTAATATTTTTTTCTCTATTTTCAGGATATCAATACCGTTGTGCCTTGAAGGGTTAATACAATATTTCTCACCCCTACACGGGGGTGTGGCAACATCGCACGCATATTTATTTGCACTTGGAGTCGTTGGGTAAGATATCATCATCATCATCATCATCTGTTAATAGTCCACTGCTGGACATAGGCTTAGAAAGGAGGTTATGGCCTACTATGTATGGTATAGGTTTAGGTATAGGTATTGTAAAATGTACTTGAACTATTATTTACAGTATCAATACACACTAATTGACACCTTAAGAATATTTTACAAAAAAATGGCATACGAAGGAATGACGAATTGGATGATCAAATTGTTTATCGACTTCGAAAAGAGAGCAGGTCTCAGAAGACTGTCCTATACAAAGGCACTGGGTGTCAATAGCAATAGGAAAGCATAGTTGAATGTCTTTCTACTATGTGTTGTTACTCACAATACTAATGTTACTAATTATTTTTTTTGACAATATCCGTATAAAGGTTGTCTGTAAGAGATCGCCGTGAGCGATAAGACCGCCTATTGTTATACCGAAATGTATTTAATATCTGTTTATATAATACTTCAATGGTGTACAATAAAGAGATAAATAAATAAATAATATCGACGTTAAGTATATTTTGTTTCTAACCCATTACTAAACAACCTATGGACTGTATATGTCTGAAATTATCATTGTTACTTCAGAATTCGGTAATTTATGAAACATTTTTTAAAATTCTTCTTTAATTTAGAAGGATATACTCATTGGTCTCCTTGCCTCTTAATTATCCCAACCAGTCTTATTTAAATGAAGTCGTACTGTATGCAACTTGAAGTTAGTGATACTTTTTTCAATCCTCGACGTGTGTTCTATCTCTGGTATCGAAGCTCCTGAAATATGGAGTGTAGAGGCAAGGAGAACCATCTCATATGGGGGGAAACGAAAAAGAGTGCAGCTATATACCAAAAATAGAGGTAGCTGGCGTACGAAAAACTACGATATGAACATAGGTGTTGTGGACGGGGTGAAGTTTTGCTGAGTTAAAATATTATATTGCTTTTATTGTCTGAAAGTTATTACACCTTTATTTATTGTCTGTAAAACGTTTAACAATTGAACGAAAATTGTCACACAGTGTTTAATTATTATTTAAGGCAATATCAATTTATCCTGGGCTATCGCAGCGCCACCATTATTAGACGCGTTTTTACAGTCACTTTTCATACACAGAGACGGTTCTCCTTGCCTCTACTCTCAGTATTCTGAACGAATGTACCGATTATGATGCGGTTTGTTTTGTTTGAAAGCTGACATGATAGAGATGGTTCTTAGCTATAATTTGTGAAGATTATCAGCTCATTTCTTAGTTGATGAAAGGATCTCAATAACCTTTAAGAAAAGAGCGTTCTCCTTCCTCAAAGGCTGGCAACGCGCTTGTGACTCCTGAGTTGCAGGCGTTCATGGGCGGCGGTAGTCGCTTTCCATCAGGTGACCCGTCTGTTCGTTTGCCCCTATTCCATAAAAAAAAACCTACACAACTCCAATTGATTTGAGATTTGGTTTACTGTTACTTTAGTGGTATTTGCATGATATGGTAACCATTGGTAGCTTCAACCCAAGGTTTGGCTGTAGCATCAGGTCAACCTGATGCTACAGCCAAGCCTTGGGTTGAAGCTGGTGTCGGGGGTGTTCCAAATTTTTCTTAAATGTTCTAGGTTTATGGCGTTAAGTGCTGCTTTGGTTCACCCAATGTTACTGTGGCTATTAGACATGGCGATGAAAATACGAGTGTCCTGTGGTTCTCTGGTTTATAGAAAGGTCAGTGGGAGCTTCACTAGATATCACTCGGTGGTTGAATTTGGAACGTTTTAACCCGACTGCACCCAGACGGAGGGAGGTTATGGTTTTCGAAGATATGTATGTATGTGTGTAATTTTCTTTATCACTCTCTTTAACCTAAATAACTGATGACGTCTTAATTGTGAGAGTGACTATGGTATACGGAAGGTATATGGAAATTCACATTTTCACGCAGTCGGTTATTTTGTTTTTTATTCAATAACAGAACTTGCTTAGAACGGATGAGAGACGCCTGAACGTAGCCGAAATGCGAATGCTGAGATGGATGTGTAATGTGACTCAGATGGACAAGGTTAGGAATGAGTATATACGAGGGAGTCTGAAAGTAGCGCCACTGGATTTGCGTCGTTGCGTCAGCATTCCCGCAACAAAGTAATAGGTTATCTTGGTATGGACATGTCATGCGGAGGGATGAGGAAAATGTGTCGAAGAAAGTTTTAGGTATGAGAGTTGAAGGGTACAAGAGAAGAGGCAGACCGAAGAAGAGGTGGATGGACTGCGTCAGGGAGGATATGGCTAAACAGTGAGATGACGCATGACAGAGTAGAATGGAAAAATCATACATACTGCGCCGACCACAAATAAAATTGGAAAAAGGGTAGGCAGATGATGATGATTATTATATATCAATACTGATTTCATAGGTATTTATAACTATTTTGTCGAAGTTCGGTACACCTTTCAGTATCGTAGTTAATTTATCTTCTACAACAACTCGATGACTGCGTTTGGCGTAGCGATTGGCCCGCATTGGAATCTCAACGCCGAACGAGAGAAAACGCAACAACCGGGTGTCATTTATCGCGGTACAAAGTAGCCTTTGTTAGTCGCTGATACTGTAGCTTTCCATTGGTGAAAGAATTGATAAAATCGGTTTAGTTGTTTAGGCGTGAAAGCGTAGCAAACAAACAAGCAAACGTAAGTACAGACGTATATGAACGTAAAGTATGGTTGTATATACACACATGTGAGCCCTTTCCGAATACCTAGTTGTTTTCGGGAATATTCCTGTTCGTTTCCTTTGAAGCGGAAAAACTTACCGACAATTAGCCGAGCAAGGCTAGTACTAACAATCGTTGCTCGGCAAAAAACAAGCACTCAACCTCACTACTTGCTATTCGGCGAATATTCGGGTTACCACTCGGCGAATCTTGAATGTCTGATCACAGCTTAAGATTTAAAATAATAATAAAATAATATTGCGAACTGCCTGTAACATACTTCTGTAATTTATTTCCAGTTACTCCGTCTAGATCTGACAGCTGGAGGGAAAGCCTCCGAAGGTCTAGCGGGCCATGTAGTCAACTTACTAACGACAGACGCCCAGCGGTTCGACATGGCCAGTCTCTTCATGATGGACCTCATCCGAACCCCTATCGAAAGCACCCTCATCGTGTACTTAATGTATCGACAGATAGGGGTGGCAACTCTCGTGGGTGTGGCGTTTTTGCTTATGTTTATTCCCTTGCAAGGTAAGTTAAGTTACCACTTCCTAGTGTCGTTATACTATTTGATAGATCATATAATAGTACATACAAAAAGATACCCTTATCATAGAGAAAGGAAGATATGCCTTCATGATGCAATGCATGTGAAAGAGTAGGATTTCTTACAACACATGGTCTTTCGAGCCGGCCACCCCAGTGACATTTTAATTTGTTTTTGTTAGAATTTTATTTAAATTCTCAAGGCTAGGTTAGTTTAATAACACCAAGAAATGTTTTATTTTTGTGCATTAACGTGTTTTGGTTGAATTTCTAAAACGAAGGAAAAAAGCGTACTCCTTCCTACAAGGCCGGCAAAGCGTTTGTGACTCCTGAGTTGCAGACGTTCATGGGCGGCTATAGTCACTTTTCATCAGGTGACCAGTCTGCTTGTCTGCCCCCTCTAACTAAAAAAAAAACTTTATAAAACTAATGACTAGCCGAGCACGATCATTTGCTCTGTGTCTGGGTGTAAATTATCTGTAAATTGTATGTATTTAGAAATATATAAGTATGTTTATCAGCAGTCTGGTTACCATAGTACAGGCTCTGCCTAGTTTACATCATAATGCTATCATTATTAATAATGTTTTTTTCAGGGTACCTCGGCAAAATTACAAGCAAGCTCCGTCGAAAAACTGCCATACGGACAGACAATCGCATACGTCTCATGAACGAAGTCATACAAAGTATTGAAGCCATCAAGATGTATGCTTGGGAGTTCGCCTTCGCTAGGATCATTGGCCAGGCTCGGAAGTAAGTAGTTAAGCAGGGTACGTCGTAGTACCAGGGCTTTCCTTTCTAGGGTACACTTGTAGGGTTGGACTCAAAGGGGACACTTTGTACTTTGAGGGATCGAACCCACGACGCCAGACGTAGCGGTCAGGGTCATTAAACTTGACCTACAGGCCAGGGTGAAGGGAAGAGAGGGAGAGTCATGCTTCAGGACATACGAGCCATATTTACCCCAGTCATACCACGGCCTCACAGGAAACCACTGTTAAGAAATTATTATCACCTTATACTATAAAAAAAAACTATAGACACTAAAAAAAATATGCTTTTTTTCAGAAAAGAAATGAATGTGATAAAAAAAATGTCTTGGCTCCGAGCCGTGATGATATCTTGCGTTAAATTAAACACCAAGGTAGCCATCCTACTCAGCATCATCTCCTACATCTCTTACGACAACGAACTCACAGCAGCCAAGGTCTTCGTCATCTTCTCTTACTACGAAATACTGAAGTACTCTCTCGTAGACTTTCTCCCTCTTGCCATAACGTTCACGTTAGAAGCGTACGTGAGTGTGAAGAGGATGCAAGAGTTTCTGTTGCTGCCTGAAGTAAATAACCAGGACGGAGTGGACCTGGTGACGATAGAAGAGAAGAACGTTGTGCAGAAAAATGGGGTGTTTGAGAAGATTGGTAATGGGTGAGTATTTTTTCATTCTTTCCTAGCTGTACTCTGCCACGCTTCGCTGTGACATTTTGTGGTTGCATTGACGAGAAAATGAGGACCAAAACTGACGTGAAAATACCACGTGAGGGGTCTATTGACCCCCGGTCGGAAGGAAGTTCCTTTCGCTTTTTGGTAGGCGTTAGATTTACAGTCAGTATAACTCATATTATTCAATATCAAGTTATTAGAGTTAAATTGCAAATTTATTATAAAATAGTAAGAAGTGTCAAAAAAAGTCTTGTTACACATTTTTCGGTCACGCTCCCATACGTTCAGAGCGTGTAACGTTAAACCATATTTGAAGCGGGTTGTATATCGTGTCGAAATTTGAGGTCAATTTTTGCAGAATTTCTTGAGTTTTATAAGTGTACACAAACCAACTTAACATTTGTAAATACATAATATATGTATATATGTAGTGTATGTACTACTGTCGTTTAGGTCACTGTTTGGTCTGTCGGGTCTTATATGCAGGAGAGAAATAAGTATCGTCATCATCATCATCAACAGCGTTTAACAGTCCACTGCTTGCTGGACATAGGCCTCTCCTTAGGAAGGTTATGGCCTACTATACCACGCTGGCCAGACGGGTTGGAATAGGGTTTGTTTCAAGTTTTCCTTCTCTTTGCAGTGCTGTTGTCCTGCGTAGTTTGTTCCCTTAGTCGGACCTTACGACACCCATGGGATGAATAGGGGTGGTGACACTCCGTATTCTTAATCCGTCACCACACGGACAGTAAATAAGTATGAAGGCTCATGGGCTGCGATAGTCACTTTCCATCAGGTGACCCGTCTGCTCGTCTGCCCTAACATAAAAAAAAGGTCACCAAATATTACTTTATTGTTATTCAGGAATTAAAAAGGTATAAGTGTCGGTAACGAGAACTCAGCAACGACTGGCTGTGGTAGTTCGCGTACATACATTCAGCCCTTGCTATCGTAAACTCAGAATTACATGTCAGCATTAGCCACTACAGATATATAGCTCGACCGATGTGATTCCACGACCTCACATAAAACTGGTGTTAAAGAATCCTTTCGTATCTTTTCTTCGAGTGAGTGAAGTTACCGAAACCCAAACCTCTCGTCCTGATTCTTGAGTCGAGTGATGGAATCGTATCTGTGACTCTTAAGTCGAAGATGACCAGGGTTCGTGGTAGTCACTTACCTTCTCTTTAACCTTTGTTGACATCTAATCTCTGCAATCTTTTAATCCATACCAATATTATAAATGTGAAAGTGTGTCTATCTTTCTGTCTGTTGCCTCTTCACGCTTAAACCGCTGAAACGATTTAGATGAAATTTGTTAGAGAGATAGCCCGAGTCGCGGGAAAGGACACAGGGTAGTTTTTATCCCAGAAATCATACTTTAAGGGGTAAAAAGGGGGTGGAAGTTTTTATGGGGAATCAAGAACCGTTGAACTGATTCGATGAAATTTGGTATAGAGATACTTTGCTCCTTGAAGAAAGACATTGACTACTGCGAAAACCGACATTTACTATATAGTTTTGACATTTAGTCAAGATATCTTTTTGTTTTGACTTGACAGTCAAATACCCTGTATGAAATTCTGTTATACTTTCAGCCAACAGGCGTACATAAAGTCGGAGACCAATTTGGAACACTTGAAGCCTCAAGTGCTGATAGAGATGAAGGATTACACAGCCTACTGGAGGAACGTGGATGATGAGAAAGTTGATGGAAAGATTCCAGCTCTTGTGGACATCAATCTAGTGGTACATTTGCCATATAAGTTTTTATTACAATACTAACCCGATACATTTGTACATTGTAAGTTTTATAAAAAAAAATACGTCAAGGGTCATCCATAAATTAAGTCACATAAATTTCATGGTTTTTGACCCCATCCCCCGTCATTGGCACAGCTGGTCAAATTACATTTTATAATTGTCAGTTCTATTTCCATTTAATAACGGTTTAATTGAATCAACAATATTTTTTTGTTTTAATTCTTCTATATTTTAGATTTTAAATGTGTCACACAATGTCATATTTTGTCGAACCTGTGACGTAATTTATAATGGCCCCTAAACTGGCCGTTTCGGACAGTTCAATAAAAGCACTTGTGATTTCTATCAGTTTAAACCAGTTTGATTCCAAGATTGGGTAGTCAAAATTTGGAAAATCTAAAATATGTCATCATCATCTTGACCACAGCTTGACATAGACCTCTCCATAGAAAGGAGTTTTTGAACTACTATACCAAGCTGGCCAGACGGGTGTGGTATGTATTTGTTTTATATAAATCTCAAATATGTAAGTCTACATAATGTAATCATTGTTTACCCAGATAAAACCAGAAACGCTGACGACGATCGTGGGCACAGTGGGCTCTGGCAAGTCCACGCTACTCCAAGCGATGCTCAAAGAGCTCACGCCCACTAGTGGACATCTTCATACAAATGCGGCGATAGCTTACGCAGCTCAAGAGCCATGGTTGTTTGAAGCTTCTGTAAGTATGACAAATATTTAGATATATAGTTTTTTTTCACTATTATGGTGGTAATGCGATTGACAGGCATGTCCCAGTCCCAGAGGTCGTATGATCGATTCCCACACAGGACAAATAAGTAATTGTTTAATAAGCACAATTATTTTTTGTGTCTGGGTGGGATTTATCTGTAATATGTATATGTCAATAGTCTGATTACCATAGGACAGACTCTGCCTAGTTTGGGATCAGAAATTCGTATGTGAAATGTGAAAAAAACATAGTTTTACTCGCATTCGAAGATTTTGGTACTATAGTCGAGGGGCCCTCTATCAAGGGTTGTAGCGACCGGCCACGACGGTGTCAGGCGTTACGTGAGTGAGGGCCCCTGTCGGGTTCAAAACTAGACGGACTTTCTCAATATACACACGTGAGGAAACCGTATATTTAAATAAATATGAGATCATGTGTAACAATGTAATCCCTTTTCGAGGTCCGTCAAAACATCCTGTTCGGTCAAGACATGGATCTCCGTAGATACAAGCAAGTCATCAAGTGCTGCCAACTGAAGACTGACTTGGAGATACTCCAGCATGGAGACAAGACCATTGTTGGTGAACGAGGTGAGTGACAGTAACCAGATGTAAGAATAATAATCATTCCTTGAAGTAGCGAATTTGACTGTACTGTCAAATCTGTTTCGCTTTAACGTCAAAACGTCTTATAAAGTTTATCCCGGGCAGTTTATAAAGTTGTTGAAAGGGGGCAGGCCTCCATCGATGCATCACTATTTCCTTACCGCGAATCGAGTATAGTATCATCGCCAACTACAGGAGACGCCATCCGAGACTTGCAGGGTATCCCTTATAGGGCCGAGCAGATGGTTAGTAACTACCGCCGCCCATGTACATAGGGACGCGACGCTCTCCCCTCCCTTCCCCCCAAATTAGAGGGAGGAGGGGTTTCGGACTCCGGTAACCTCACACACTCGTTGAAAAGTAACGAAAGTATTGTTTAACACCGGTTTTCTATGACGCCGTGGTATCACTCCGGTCGAGCTCTCCGACTCTCCCACCTTATATGAGACATATATTTCAATTTGTATTTTTATTCTACCCTCAGGTGCATCATTATCTGGTGGTCAACGTGCACGTATATCTCTAGCGCGTTGTGTTTACCAGAACGCCGATGTTTATTTACTGGACGATCCCTTAGCGGCCGTCGATGCTAAGGTATAATTATTTACACATTCACGTCCATAGAGATATAACCATAGAGAGAACACGGGGTACAGCTGCATGTAAGTGGAAGCGATACAGGCAACGAGAGAGATGTTTGCCCGATATTTCCCTCTGTCTCTGTTTAGCTAAGCAACAATGTTGAATTCTTCTAAGGATGTGGACTACCCCACCTCTCCCCTCCCCTACTCGCCTCGGTAGCCACTTCGCTCACTACTACGCGGAGTGTTGTGGGTCCAATCCCCACATGGTCACACTTTGTGTGATTCACAAATTGTTGTTCTGAGTCTGGGTGTTCTTTGTGTCCGTTTCATGTATGTTTGTAAAGTCCCCCGCGACACAGGATATATTCCTAGTGCGGGAGATGTCTTTTGAAAAAAAAATCAAAAACTATATCTATAAAAGAAGAAACTGAAAGAAACTGTCAGAATGGTTCACTGACTGATTGATCAACGCACACCTGAAACCGCTGGGTCTAGAAGCATGAAATTTTGCACAAATGTTCCCTAGGTGACGTACGAAGAAAGTTTTTTTTCAATTCCACCGCTAAGGTTGCAAAATGGGGGTTGAAAATTTAAATCAAACTTCGTTATTTTTCGTATCATCTACGATGTTTAATACGAGCTGGTATATACATAATTTTTAATACGTGCGAGTAGACAATATAATAAAATTTTATCTCAATATGAAATAGACCTATATGGTAAAAGTGTTTTTGAACTTAAAAACATTATAGCTAAGAATTTTTTTGTTTGACTACGGCTAGCTTTGTGTTTGTTTACTGATTTCCAATTTAATGTTACGCGTGTATTTCTTATTGCGGATATTTGTAAATGGCCATCAGACGTTCATGTATTGTACCTTATATTTTCAAAATGCTAGCTGTAATTATCCCAAACAGAGAAAATAAATAAATATTATTTTTTCAAGAATTAATGAGCAGATGGATGCACTGTGCAAAAGACTTCTGTTACAATTTGAAAAGCCTGATTGGGGTATTATTGTCACCACGCAAAATATACTGATATACTACTTCTGTCACTTGCTCAATGCATGTAATTACGTTTTTCTGCATTAATGTGATTATTATCGTTGAACCGCTAATAGGGGTCCTTTATCAAGAAGGGAAGCGACCTGTCGCCTCTTGATGCTTAATAATTAATTGACTCCTTTCCGTCAGGTGGCTCAAGCGATATACGAAGAGTGTATTCGCCATTTCCTCCGAGACAAGGCGACGGTGCTGATCACCCATCACGTGCAGTACGCTAAACATGCACACAACGTATGTGTCATGCGCAGCGGCAAGGTAAAGTCTCTTTTTACTTCTCTTTTAACTCTTCTTTTCGATATTCAAAAGCAATTCTCAAACTAGGTGTTATCTTGTTTTGATACCGTCAAATTTTAACAGGATTTAAAAGAGTTACGTTTTCAATTCCTATTCCTTTAAATATGTAAGAACTTCGTCATGTATGAACTGATTTGGAAAATACTTATTTGATTCCCAGGACAAATATTGTGTGATGAGCACGGTCATTTGTTCTGTGTCTGGGTGTAATTTATCTATAATATGTATGTATTTAGAAATTTATAGGTATGTTTATCAGCAGATTGGTTACCATAGTACTTGCTGTGCCTAGTTTGGGACCAGAGAGATGTGGGAAGTTATTATTATTTTTCACGTTTGGTTCCATTAAAATTTAAGAAAAAGTAATACACCTAAGTGTGGGAATTAAGCAATGAAGAATATAGTTTATTAAAATTCATTATGATTGTCCATTGGGAGTTCAATATGAAAGAAAAGTTTGGTAAAATTTGAAAAGGAAGGATATAAGAAAAAAAAATTAAAAATGAAAAAATATTTATTTAGAAACACAAATAAAATAAATTACAGATGTGCTTAACAAGACATAAAATAAGTGTAGCAGATCTTATCAAATAAATATTTAACGCGGTGCAAAACAACAGCACTACAAAAAGAAGGAAAACTTGAAACAAACCCTTTTTTTTTTTTTTTTTTTTTTTAACGTGTGGAAATCCCCTCGGACCGTCACCCCTCCGGGGTTTGTGGCGGGGTGGTGTGTCGGACTCGGACCGACTAAAACCACACGGTGTGCCACTCTGCGCCTGTAACAGGAGGGATCCGGGAACAGCTGTTGTTAAGACATCCGGACCCCTCCTAGCGCCAGCCCGCTCCTGGTGCGGGCTCCGTCTCAATACATTTTCCTCTCTTTAGGCGACGTCCGGCACACGCGGACGCCGCCCCCTCGCGGCTGGCCAACTAATGCGGGTGGAGGGGAAACCCACCCCGTCCACCCGCGGCCACACTCAGGGCGGCATGAGGCTGTGGTAGGCGGGCCTCCGCCGCCCGGTTCGCCGGCGGCGGATCGGGTCCGAGTGGAGGTCGTCCTCCCGGGCCCTCTCCGCCGCCTCCTTCCGCGAGATTACTACCTCGCAGAAGGTTGCGACCGCGGTAAAACAACTGTCGCTACCGGCCATGGAGCGTACTACGGCCGGTAGCGAGAGATCCACTCCGATGACTGCAGTGAGGGCCCGGCGCTGCGCCGCCCATGCGGGGCAGACCGCCAGCGTGTGCTGGGCCGAGTCCTCACTGCAGTCGCAGTGGTGGCAGGCGGGACTCAGTTCCCTCCTAGCGACCGTGTGCAGGTACTTTCCGAAGCAACCATGCCCGGAAAGCACCTGCGTCAGCCGGAAGGAAAGGGTCCCGTGCTGCCGCCCTGCCCACTCGGCGATGACCGGCTGGAGAGCCTCCACGGCGGCAAAGCCAGCGCGTGGAGTCTCCAGCCGGAACGACCAACGAGCCATCGTGGCTCGGCGAGCGGCTTCGCGCCACTCGCGCACATCCTCGGGCGGAGGGCGAAATCCGCTCTCCGCCCGGAAGTCAGCCACTCGCCGATAAACTTCGGCGAGCACTTCCGCCTCCAAATCCCACGGGGGAGTTCCGGCCAATGCGCATGCCACCTCCGTCGAAACGGTGCGGTAACCGCGTATGGCTCTGACCGCCATTACCCTCTGAGGGCGCCAGAGGCGTACCCTATTCTGGGCGGTCAGAGCCGCCGCCCACACCGGTGCACCGTACAGTGCCATTGACCGGACAACCCCCGTGTACAGCCGTCTTGTCGCGACGCTGGGTCCACCCATATTGGGCAAGAGTCGCCCTAGGGCAGACGCAGCGCCGACCAGCTTTGGAGCAAGCTGTCGGAAGTGCTCGTCGAAGAGCCACCTCCCGTCGAGGATCAGGCCCAGATATTTCATCTGGGCCCGAACCGGTACGAGGACCGAGTTGACCACTATTGAGGCGCCAGGGGGTGGACCACGACGGGGCCCATGGAATAACAGGGCCTCCGTCTTATCGAGGGCCACCCGTAAGCCCAGCGCCTCAATGCGCCCGACCACCAGGGAGACTCCCCCCGTGGCCAGGCGCGCCGCCTCTTGGAAGTTTGCCCCCCGGGCTGTCACGAGGGTATCGTCTGCGTAACAGATTACACCCAGCCCGGGGGGGAAATCGGCGCGAAGGGCCCAGTCGTACCCTATGTTCCACAAGAGGGGTCCAAGAACAGACCCCTGTGGAACACCGCACGACATGGGCCGACACCTCAGGTTACCTTCTCGGTCCTCGTACACGACGGTACGCTCCTCTAAATAGTCTGCCACCAGCCGCCTCAGGTACTTTGGCACCCCATGATAGTGGAGTGCTTCCCTGATGCAGCTGAATGGCAGACTATTGAATGCGTTGGCGATGTCTAATGACACCGCCAACAGCACGCCGCCACAGCTCACGGCCTCTTCGGTCACGGCCCTCAGGCGCAACACGGCGTCGACTGTCGAACGCCCCGCCCGAAAACCAAATTGGGCGTCCGACAGATCGGGGCCCACCTCGCAGAGGTGCCGGACGATGCGGGCAGAAAGAACCCTCTCAAACAATTTGCCCGCCTCGTCCAGCAGCACGATGGGCCTATAGGCCGCGACCGAATCGGCAGGCCGTCCCGGCTTCCTCAATAGGACCAGCTTCCCGCTCTTCCAGCACTCAGGGAAGCGTCCCGACGCCAAGCTAGCGTCGAACACCTCCCCGAGGCGGTCTGCCATGTGGTTGAGGGCCAGGGCCAGCACTCGGGCCGGTACCCCGTCTGGCCCAGGGGCGGTGTTCTTGGAACGGATCCGTAGAACAGCCGCCCCTACCTCCGAATCCCGGACGGGCGGAACATTGTCCTCCCCGTGCTCCCCGTCGTCTCCGGCCAGGGAGGCCATCGACGGGGGAGTGTGTTCCGCTCGTTGTGGGAAAAGGCCCTCAACCACTTCTCGCAGGAAGCTGGGCTGGAGAGTCTCCGTAAGGGGGGGGCCCGACGCGCGGAGCTTTTGTCGCACCGCGCGGTAAGGGCGACCCCAGGGGTCACGATTAAGACCCTCCAGCATCTCCTGTCTCTTTTCCTCTTTGGCGCGGCTAATGGCCAGCTTCAGAGTTTTCCGAGCCCGTCGGTACTCCTCATGAAGCCGGTCCTCCTCACCGTCTCCACGGTGACGCCGCCGACTGCGCGTGTAGGACCTCCGGGCACGTGTACAGGCCGCACGGAGGTCCGCCAGCTCCTGGGACCACCAGTAGACCTCCTTCCTTGGAGGCCGACGACCTCGAACGCGGGGCATGGCCGCATCGCATACATGCGTAATCGCATCGCGAAAGCGGCCAGCCCCCACGTCGACCTCCTCGGTCGGAGCCTGAGGAGACAGCCACGAGTGAATTATGGCTGCCTCCTCTAGTAGGTCCCGGTTCAGCCTGGCAACAGCCCACCGCGGAAAGCGGGATAAACGCCGCGCCACGTGACCCCTACTGGAGTCCTGGGTCCGGGAGAGCTCAAATCGGATATACAGTGATCCGAGAGCGTCTCAACCTCTTCCAGGACACGCCAGTTCCTTACTCGTGCGGCGAGGGCAGGGGTAGCGAACGAGAGGTCCACTATCGACCCCCCCTGCTGTCGCACGCACGTGTTGGTGGAGCCTCTGTTTAGAAGACAGAGGCCCACCGAGGCCGCCCACTCCTCTACGGCCTCGCCCCTGGCGTCCGTCCTGGGGGAACCCCACGCAATGGACTTTGCGTTGAAGTCCCCCAGCACAAGGACGTGCCCAGACGCTAGTCGCCGTATCGAGGTCTCCAAGCTGGTCAGGAAAACCTCGAAGTCGTTCAAACTCCGGTTGGGGGAGAAATAGACACCATATATGGTGATCCCCCCCACTCGACGGCAACATATCCAGTGCCCTTGTCTCTTAGCGACAAGGGCGGGGAATGAGCCGTCGTGGAACCGACGACTGCCACGGAGCCGTCCCAGTCACCCATCCAGTTTGGACGGGGAGGGACAGAATAGGGCTCCGCGACTACGGCAACACCTATCGACCACTGTGCCATGGTTTGCAGGAAGAGATCCTGCGCCGCGGCACAGTGGTTCAGGTTCGTCTGGACCAGGAGGTTGGAGACTTGATCCATTACTGGATCGTCTCTACAACCTCCTCCATGGGCGACGACGTCGACGCACGAACTATATCGGAGGCAGCCTGGGTCGACTGGCTAACCCCCGACGTCTGCCGAGAACTGCGGGGAGGCTTGCAGCCTCTCTGCCCCATCTGATGATTGGCGGGCTTATTGCCCGCCGCACACACTGGGCAGTGAGGGGCGGCAGAGCATTCTGCCGCCTTATGCCCCGGTTGACCGCAGCGGAAACACAGTCCGCCGCAGTCAAAACAACTGTCGCACTTGAAGCGCGTGTGTCCCGTGGCCAGGCATTTAAAACACCTCATCGGTCTCGCCGCCAGGACTGTGATCCTGGCGCTCACGAAACCGATGAGCAGCCTGCCGGCGTCGGCCAATACTTTGGCCGACGCTACGGGACAGCTGACCCACACGGCGCCAAGCCCTCCTGGACCGGGGCGGATGGTGCCGACCCTGACGTTGTCCGCGCTGCACCCCGTCTTCTCCCGGATTACAGCGCGGACATCTTCGGCCGTCACTGAGTCGTCCAGGCCCGAGATGCGCAGTTCCGCGCACTTGGTAGGCCTGGCGACCCTGACACCATCAGTGGCCGCAAATATTCCCCGCAGCCTCTCGGCGAAGGAGTCCGCCGTCTTTGCGCCTTCAGCCCCAGGGAACTCGAGGACTCGAGCTCCCGTCTGGGCGAGGCGCATCCTGACCCCCACCGTTCCAAGGTCGCTAGCGAGGCTGTCCCGGGCCTTTTTAAACACGGCCGCGTAGGACAGCCCGCCGTCCGCCGCCTCCGGGGACACGGTCACCACTACAGCCGCGGTTTTGGGCGGCTGCAGCTTCCGCGGCCTCTTTGTGGAGGCCGTTGCCACCGGTGGCGAAGGCTGGGCCTGGGCTGCTTTTTTTGGCAGCCTTTTTGGCCCGCCTTCGGGACTTCTTGGAGCCCCTCGCCTCCTGCCAACCCTCGTTGGAGGGGGCAGGTGCGGAGGGGCCCGGCAGGGGTGTCGGAGTGGGGAGCGGAGGGAATGCCACTCCGCTCCTCGGCGCCGTTTTAGGCCCCGTCTTGGCCGGCGCCTGGGGATGTGCCTTGGCCGGCGCCTTAGCCGGTGCCTTGGCCGGCGCCTGGGCCGGTGCCTTGGCCCCCCTCCTCGGCTTTTGGGGAGCCGATGGAGTCGGGGCAGACGCCGCCGCCGCGTAGGAGACGCGGCCTCCCACTACGGGGAGCGCGGTCGGAGCGGCGGCCTTAGGCCGCTGTGTCGACGCGAGCGGGGGGCGCATACTCGGCGCAGGAGGCAATCTCGCCTCCAGGCCAGCCAGGCGTCCGTCCAGCATATTCCCAACTGCGATGAGGATTTCTCGCAGTTGGGAGTCAAATGCCCCTGAGTTGGTGGTAGGGGCAGGCTGGGACGCGGACGGGGCTTCCCGCTCGGGGAGGTTCGCCTGGAAGCGGGCGAACTGAGCGCTCAGCTCGTTCACCCGCTCTGTCAGCTTCTCGTTGGCCACCTGCAGGCGAGAGACGTCGCCCGCTAGGCCCTCCACGACCTCCGACAAAGCGGAGGAGGAGTCCTTAAGGGCCCTCACAAACGAGCCCTTAAGGTTCACGGATTTGGTGGCCACCTTGTTGATGACGGCCACCGCCGCTTTCGCCCTCTCCTGCACGGACACGGGAGCCTGGGGGGCATTTCCCCCCACCGGCTCCCGAACCTTGAGCAGGAGATCCGCGATCTCCTCCTCCGCTACGGCCTCGCCGTCCACCCGTACGTTCCTGTACGACTCCGCGTTGGAGAACGCGGAGCCTGACGGGGTTGAGACCGGGGCCGAGGCCGGTTTGCGAGCCCTCCCTCGGCGGCTGCTTGCCACCTTTGGTGGCATCATCTCCTGGGACGTGTCGGTTTCCTCGTCCCTGGAGCGTCCTCGTTTCCGGCTGTCGCTTCGCTCCGCCTCCATGGCCTCCACGCCATCCGACGAAACGGCGGATCCGGAGCGCAGCCGATCTGATGCTCTTCGGCTCCCAGAGATCAGCGTCAGACTGACTTCTGGGAGCCCCACCGAGATAGGCGTTCCCGACGCTATCTCACCCTCCGTGGATGACCCATCCACTCCACTGTTCCTCTTCTCCTTCGTATCAGAGTCCGTTTTGCTTGCCTGTTTCTGTTTGGTTTGTATTGGTTGCCGTTTCTTTATATTTTTGTTGTTATGATCCATAATAAATCCCACGATTGGGGGAGAACTAAAGGTCCACCCGGGCAGAGATCCCCCATTACCCGGGCAAGCGTAAGTTTTTAACCCAACCGAGGGGTCCGCAGGTACCTCGGCTTGGAGTGCGCTCGCGACTGAACTTCCCATCAGCCATGCATCCCCTGGCCACGCACCAGAACACGGGATTCGGGGAATTTTTTAGAGAGGTTATCTTCCTCGCGGTCCGGGCGGTTAAGCCAAGACCCTCGCCCCCGATCAGAGCCGCGAGACTTAACCACAGCGCTCTTCTCGGGATTACGATATGCCGACGGTTGACAGGGAGACTACGTCCCCCTGCCTGCTCGGTGGTAGTGTGAGTACACGCCGAGCCCGTCCTCCTTTCTCCACCGCTGTCAGCGGAGAAACTGTGGCCCCTACAGGGCCCCGCCATCAGGTTTTTTACCGAGGTTTCCTCCTCCATGCTCCGAAGAGCGAAGAGCCAGCAGGGCAACCGGCAGACACGCCCACCCTGCTGGACCAGGCCTTGCCCGAGAGCCGATGAACGGCCTCCTCTTCTGCTAGAATATTGACCGCTGGCGATAATCCTCTCCTCCAAGAGGACAAGGAAGAAACAGTACCATCGCCAGCGTTTCCAGGGTGCACCACGGGGAGGTTTTCTAGCCAGCACCCCAAACCCTATACCAACCCGTTTGGCCACCGTGGTATAGTAGGCCAAAACCTCCTTTCTAACGAGAGGCCTATGTCCTTTCTAACGAGAGCAGTGGACTGTTAGGGGCTGCTGATGATGATGATGATTTAACGCCCACCAACGTCCCCCCACACTAGGCAAGCCTGTATCGTGGGGTCCCAGGCAAACGTATTTACATTAAGGTATAGAGCTTCTGCACTTCACAATTTTAAAAATAATAGAAAGATAGAAAATAAAACCGTGATAAGCTATCTAAAATAATACAATAAGACAATTTAACAAAAATAAATGCTTAAATACAAAATACAATACCTTCTCTAAAATGAGTTGGCAGAAAGGTCACAACGCTAGTAACCCCACTTTCTATTGTGATATTTATATGTTTATGTATGTCTATGTATTGTACATGTAGACATGGGACCTCTATGTATGTATGTAGTACTGTATATATTGGTATATTTATGTATATTATATCTAAGTTAGAGTTACATTCAGTTAATAAATTTAATATAAATCAATCAAATTTCTTGGTCTCTCTTGCACCTACCGCATCATTTTTCTACATCACCCGAAGGTCGACTGGCAAAGAATGACCTGGGCATTAATTCCGTACAACTTGTGCATTTAGTTATTATAAATAAATAAATAAAAAAAGATATTGTATATATGAATAGATTAGTGAGCTTTTAAACTTTTTATTTAGGGTATTACATACCTCTGGTTTGCCTGACGTTTCGACCAGGTTGCACCGGCCGTGGTCACAGGCTGATGTAATACCCTAAATAGGAGATCGCGTTAATTCCCGTTAAATAATATTAATAGATTAGTGAGCGTAAGGCTTGAGAAGGGTAAACTCACACTAGGCCCCTAGTGTGAGTTTATTTCACATCAACTTGCTGTCAACGATGATGATTCCGTATTGCGATTGGTGAAGAGTTCAGTGCGAGCCAATCTGAGCCGAATGCGGTCACCGTGACGTTGATGTGATGTTAAATTTACTCACACTATTCCCTCAGGTCGGGGTCACATACCCCCCTCGTACACTCTATTCTCCATCGGTCTCTCACTCCATTGTTACTGTATTAATTCTATTATTATTACTAATACATAAGTGTTTTATCCCAATAGATTGTAGCACAAGGCACGTTCCACGAGCTTAAGAACGGCGTAGCAGACTTTGAGAAGTTAATAGAGATGGGGGAGAAGGTAGAAGAAGAGAAACAGAAGCAGAAAACAGTGGCCTATGAGAACCAGGAGAATGTGGTAAGATATAACTAATCACATATATATTTGTGATATTTGCAAAGAAAGTGTTAAGTTTACAACGTCTTTAAACATGGCGCATTTTATTAAAACAATTATGTTCAAACTTTATAAATAGCTACTAAACTCGGTTTAGTAGTTTAGCTGTGAAAGCGTAACAAACAAATTCACCTACACATTTATAAAAGAAGTATGGATTTTTCGGCCCAATCGAATCTATTGTCATCAATATAACTCATGACCACAGTAGGTGTATTCGGTCGAAATGCCTGTTAAACAAAAAAATAAATATAATTAACAAATCATTTTACTTTTAAGGTATATAATGTTATGGCCAAATCTGAAAAACAGGATGCCGTCCAGAGAAGCGTTAGTGTATTATTTTCGTATTTAAGTAGCTTAGACATCTTAAATCTTCATCTATATTTATGACTTATATTTCGTAGTATTTGCTGCCTTATTACTAGAAAACAAGCTAAATCTTCTAGATAATTTAATTAATTTTCCTAAAAAATTTACTAACCTTACACAGTGGTAATAGTGAACTTAACGTTCCCAAGGAGGGAAGGCGTCAGACAGGTTGGTCATAAAACAAACAATACAAAACCCTGTTTAGGAACGAGTGTATTAACCCAACCAACACAAATTAAGGATCTTCCGACCAGGCGAGGTGATCATGCCAGTCGACCTGCTGCCCAATGTTTAATGTTCTTGCATATATGCGAATTAGTGTGAGACCTTTTTATATCACGATACAGGATTGCAGTTGCTCCGTAGTTCGGCGTGTCTTCGTTAGATGGCGCTGTTGTATGTTTTTGTTTCACTGTATTTGGCAGACGTCACAACTCTTTGTAATGTTACATATTGCGCTGACAACAAACGAAATACTAACTTGAAAACCAGCAACTATAGTTCATTCTCGTTGCGAACGAAACGATAATCTCTTGAAACCTAATTTGTCAGGGGGCGGGGCTTAATCGATGCGTCACTATTTTCTTAACACGAATAGACTATATAATTCTTTCGTTGCTTGCCCAAATTAATTCAATAGGAGTCACTGGGCTTCGCTAGTAAAGTACCATTTGGTGTCCCAACTGTTAACCATAAATATATGTATATTAAGGATAATTAGATTAAATTTTATTAAATTTTTCACAGGAACATAGCTACAGCAAGCTAAGATCCCAGCGGTCTATGTCAGAAGCTTCACAGCTATCTTTCAACCTGGACTTGGAAAGTACGGACCCCAAATATGAAGGTAAGTTGATACCAGCATCTTTCTCTAGAATCCTACGTATGATAATAAATTCACACGGCCGTCTGATCCCAAACTGAGCAGAGCCTGTACTATGGTAACCAGACTGCTGACAAACATACTTATATATTTCTAAATACATACATATAATAGATAAATTCCACTCAGACAGAATAAATAATCGAGGAATGGAACCCACAACCTCTGTTAGTATTTTTCACATATGCATTTTGTTTTAAGGTGAAAATCAGAAGAAAGGTTCTGTGGACAACAGCGTGTACGTCGCGTACATCAGAAGCGGGGGCAGCACCTTGTCTATGATGCTGCTCATTCTTCTCTTCTTGTTGGCACAGCTCTTCTACTCTTCTACTGATGTATGGCTTAAGGAATGGTGAGTTTGCTGATAATATATGAGACACGGCTTATGGTTTTGATGACCGCTTAGCTCAAACAAATCATCCTCCGAGTCTTTTGGTTCCAAACTAGATTCGGGTCGACTTTAAGTCTTATACGACACGGCTGAAGATTTTACGTGGAGCGATTGCCATCAGAGTTCTCCACAACCCAAGTACTAGGAGGGATCCAAGTTCTGTAGATAGACTATTGTCAGACTTGTTAGGCCTCCAACTACCCGTAACTGGTGACCCGTATGCTCGTCTGCCCCCTCTAACATAAAAAAAAAACTATTGCCACAAATGTTCCTATGGAAAAAAATCACATACCAGATATGAATCCGCGACCGACGACGAGGTCGAACTCACAATAGCGCCAATTAGGTTGTTATTCTATTAAAGAACTTAAAATTTAATAATTACTTCACCTTGGAAGAGCCATGGGCCAGCGGAGTGAAACCACAGCCTCAAATAAAACCGGTGTTGAGCAATTGTTCGTTGCTTTTCACCGAAATAACACCCCCCCCCCCCCCCTTCTATTATACCATATGGTACTATTATACCATAACCTATACCACTGTAACCTTAGTACACCACATGATTTCTACACCACCCAAAGGTTAACTGGTAAAGAATGCCCAGGGCATTAAGTCCGCCGATGTACATAGAAAGGTGTATAAAGTTGTAAATAAATAAAAAACAGATACTGCTATATTTTTTTTTTACCATTCCTCAGGGTTAACTTGGAGGAAGCCAACAGCGCTGCAGTCGTCGCCAACAAGAACAAGACCGAAGCTGGAGGAGCCGCACCAGGTAACACGCTTACCTCTTTCAGAAGCCCACGCCCAAACTATCTCACTACTGGGAACTAAAACAGTTTATAATACAACCATCTAGCGGCTGTTGTGTTTCAAGTAATTCGTAGATTAACGAAATTTGTTAATGATTTCTTTATAATAATAATAACTTGACTGCACGGATGGCGTAGTGGTTTAAGCGGTCACCTCACCGCTTCCTACTTCGCTGAGTGTTGTGGGCTCGATCCCCACTTGGGACAACACTTTGTGTGTACTTTGTGTCCGCTTCGTGGATGTTTATAATGTCCTTCGAAAACGTGAGATATTTTTTTAAACAAATCATAAAACTTATACCAAATTAGGCCAAGCATGTACTACAGTAACCAGACTGCTGATAAACATACTTATAAATTTCTAAATACATACATTATTACACATACACTACACCTAGACACAGAACCAAATATACAATTCATCATACAATTATTCGCCCTGGGTGGGGGGAATCGAACTCATGACTTCTGGTTTGGCAGTCAGGGTCACTAACCACTATACCAACAGGCTCGTCCAAAAATGTATCATCTCTTCTCTCCCCTTCCAGCGGTGGTGTTCCAAGATCTATCTTCCAACCACTTCCACTTGACCAGGGAGCAATGTCTGTACATGTACGGGGGCCTGATCGTCGTCTGCATCATATTCACGTGGAACAAACTCGTGGTCTTCTACAACACTTGCATCAACGCGTCTGTGGCGCTGCATGATGATATGTTCAGGTAAATGTTTTTATGGTATAGACCAGGGATTCTCAAACTGTTTTGGACAAGAGACCCCTTTTCTATAATGACCTGATACCTCAGACCCCCATAGAAAAATTACTGCACGCTTGTCGACTTGTTGAGTTTTTAAAAAGCACAACATTGATACTTGTACTAAAATATTAGTCATTCTTACAACTAGTTGGTACTCGTAACACAACTAATACAGTATCTTGAAAGTTTCAAATTAGAAATTGTGTCAAGTACCTTGTAATACAAGTACCAAAATTGGTTTTCGTTTACGTCGACTCCTTGGAAACCGATTTCGACCCCGAGGGGTCGATATCGACCACTTAGGCAATCCATGGTATAGACGAACACCAGATGGTAAGTAACTTGTGTGTTGTGTAATAAGTGAGTCCCTTCCCCTGAAATAGAGGAGTACGGAGGAGAGTGGGTTTTGACTTCGATTACCTCACTCGCTCGGTCAAAAGGAACTTAAACAATCGCCTAACGCCGGTTTTTTGTCTGCAAACTTATGGTTAAAAGTAGTTTTTACTGACGCCCTTGGTCAAAAGTACTTTTTACCACTGTAGCATCAGTCAAAATATTTTTTTACCTTATACAGATAAATTGAGGTGTGAAAGCAAATGGCTCGAGCATATCAGGGTTAGCCCTGGGAAGTACGGTCCTGAGTTAATTCGCGATAAGAAAATAGTGACGCACTGATCAAGCCCCGAACCCTGACCAATCAGGGTCAAAGCTTTCGTCACATCATCATCACACATTAACAGCTTTTAATAGTCCACTGCTGGACATAGGCCTCTCCTTACAAAGGAGGTTTTGACCTACTATACCACGCTGACCAGACGGGTTGGTATAGGGTTTTTGTCAAGTTTTCCTTCTCTTTGCAGTGCTGTTGTCCTGCGTATTTTGCTCCTTTAGTCGGCTCTTACGACACCCACGGCATGAATAGGGGTGGTGATACTCCGTATTGTTAATCCGTCACCACACGGATAAGCGGACACAAGCGTTCGTACGAAACGATAATTTTCTGGAACCTAAAGACTTGGATTGGTCAGGGTTGGTCAGTTGTCCTTTTACATATAAGTCTTCTTTATTTATTAAGTTTCTCCTTCTCAGAGGTGTGACCAGTGCTCCAATGTGGTTCTTCCACCACAACCCATCAGGTCGGATCCTGAACAGGTTCTCCAAGGACATGGGACAAGTCGATACGTTGCTGCCTGTTGCCTTAGTAGACTGTCTTGGGGTGAGTTTGAACTTATTTTAAATATTTGATTAGTGTGTAACCTCTCCCTCCCTCCCCTCTCTCTATCTCTCTCTCCGTCTCCCTCCCCCTCCCTCTCACTCTTTCACTTCAAATCTCGTTCAATGTCTATTCTCCATGCAATTCCGGCGATCCTATTCCATCAGCAGGAGCATTTGTTTTTTCTAGAGTCTATTTAGTTCTCCTACCCGACATAATTTTTCCTACTTAGTAAATATCATGTATCACGTCTTTTACTTACTTGGTGTCTCTCTTTCCAGTTCTTTTTGGAAGTTATAGCCATCCTAGTCGTGGTGTGTTTGGTGAACTGGTGGCTGCTCCTGCCAACTGGTGTCGTGGCCGTTCTGCTGTTTACGCTCAGGGCTTTGTTCCTCAGCACCAGTCGGGAGCTGAAGAGGATTGAGGCCATTGGTATGTAATATAATAGTATTACCGTTGTATATATAACACAGCGCTTTCTAGACACACTAAGGATATCATCATGTTTGTTATGTGAAATTATAGTTTTTTTTTTTTACTTGCTTTTAGTTACTTGCACGATACCTATGCCTGAAAACCAGTTTAAATATTTTTTGAGTTTGTCTATTTGCTCCGAGTATCTTCAAAACGCCTGGACCGATTTGATAATATTTTACCACCAAGTAGCTGTCTATATTAGAAGTAACTTAGGCTATTTTTCTTTTCAAAATAACCCCATAAAACTTTGCCCGGTCCGCGAATCGAACCCGAGACCTCATGGACTGCAGTTGCGTACCGTACTACAACATTAAGGTAGCGATTTTCAAATTCCACCCGAACGAAGTCGTGGCTAGTCTATACATATAAAATTACTCGCCCTGAGAATTTATCAACGCAGATCCTAAACCGCTGGGGCTACAAACTTGACATTTTAACAGCTGATGTTATATTGCAAGCAGCCACTAAAAAATTATTGTTGCAAATTTCACCCCTAAGGGGATAAAATAAGAGATGAACGGTTGTATGGAAGTTCATCGTTTTTTTCGATTCCGTTTTTCGATTCAAAGAGTCCCGACATGAATATTTATCTATGTTGTACGTATATACACAATATATGATATTAATACATATAGTTATATTATTAATGTATTTCAACCCAAACTCAACTCTCGTGTAAACGGGGCCAATATACAGTAATATACAAAATACAAAATAATAGACACTTACAGAAAACTCACAGACAGACACTCACAGAAAAGCCAATATACAAAATAACAGACACTTATAAAAAGAGGTGTCGGTAACGGTAACAGTGTCGCGAGTTCAATGGTTTTTCCAGCCCATGCCCAATGCGCCTAAATAAGTTTTCACTTCAAAAATATTTATTCTTGTCCCTAGCCCGCAGCCAGTCACTAAACCACCTATCAGCTACAGTCTCCGGACTGACCACTATCAGATCTACCAGAGTCCAGCAGCCTGTCCTAGCTCGCGAGTTCGACAAGCTCCAAGACCTTCACTCTTCGTCCTGGACGCTGGTCCTCAGCACCAACAGGGCCTTTGGCTTCTGGATGGATATGGTCTGCTGTATCTACCTGGCGTGTGTGACATTCAGTTTCTTCTTCTTCGCCAGTGAAGGTGAGAGCATTTTATTCACTCGTTGATTATACTCGTAAAATCGCTACATGGACAGCCTTTAATAGTCCACTGCTGGACATAAGCCTCTCGTTAGAAAGTAGGCTTTGGCCTACTATACCACGCTGACCAGACGGGTTGGTATAGGGTTTTTTTTTTTTTTTTTTTTTCCCCGGGCTGGGTGTAATCTGATACGCAGACGATACCCTGGTGACAGCCCGGGGGGCAAACTTCCAAAACTTCCAAGAGGCGGCGCGCCTGGCCACAGGGGGAGTCTCCCTGGTGGTCGGGCGCATTGAGGCGCTGGGCTTACGGGTGGCCCTAGATAAGACGGAGGCCCTGTTATTTCATGGGCCCCGTCGTGGTCCACCCCCTGGCGCCTCAATCGTGGTCAACTCGGTCCTCGTACCGGTTCGGGCCCAGATAAAATATCTGGGCCTGATCCTCGACGGGAGGTGGCTCTTCGACGAGCACTTCCGACAGCTTGCTCCAAAGCTGGTCGGCGCTGCGTCTGCCCTAGGGCGACTTTTGCCCAATATGGGTGGACCCAGCGTCGCGACATGACGGCTGTACACGGGGATTGTCCGGTCAATGGCACTGTACGGTGCACCGGTGTGGGCGGCGGCTCTGACCGCCCAGAATAGGGCACGCCTCTGGCGCCCTCAGAGGGTAATAGCGGTCAGAGCCATACGCGGTTACCGCACCGTTTCGACGGAGGTGGCATGGGCGTTGGCCGGAACTCCCCCGTGGGATTTGGAGGCGGAAGTGCTCGGCGAGTGGCTGACTCCCGGGCGGAGAGCGGATTTTGCCCTCCGCCCGAGGATGTGCGCGAGTGGCGCGAAGCCGCTCGCCGAGCCACGATGGCTCGTTGGTCGTTCCGGCTGGAGACTCCACGCGCTGGCTTCGCCGCCGTGGAGGCTCTCCAGCCGGTCATCGCCGAGTCGGCAGGGCGGCAGCACGGGACCCTTTCCTTTCGGCTGACGCAGGTGCTTTCCGGGCACGGTTGCTTCGGAAAGTACCTGCACTCGGTCGCTAGGAGGGAACTGAGTCAAGCCTGCCACCACTGCGACTGCAGTGAGGACTCGGCCCAGCACACGCTGGCGGTCTGCCCCGCATGGGCGGCGCAGCGCCGTGCCCTCACTGCAGTCATCGGAGTGGATCTCTCTCTACCGGCCGTAGTATGCTCCATGGCCGGTAGCGACAGTTGTTTTACCGCGGTCGCGACCTTCTGCGAGGTAGTAATCTCGCGGAAGGAGGCGGCGGAGAGGGCCCGGGAGGGCGACCTCCACTCGGACCCGATCCGCCGCCGGCGAACCGGGCGGCTGAGGCCCGCCTATCACCGCCTCATGCCGCCCTGAGTGTGGCCGCGGGTGGACGGGGTGGGTTTCCCCTCCACCCGCATTAGTTTGGCCAGCCGCGAGGGGGCGGCATCCGCGTGTGCCGGACGTCGCCTAAAGAGAGGAAAATTTTGAGACGGAGCCCGCACCAGGAGCGGGCAGGCGCTAGGAGGGGTCCGGATGTCTTAACAACAGCTGTTCCCGGATCCCTCCTGTTACAGGCGCAGAGTGGCACACCGTGTGGTTTTAGTCGGTCCGAGTCCGACACACTACCCCGCCGCAAACCCCGGTGAGGTGACGGTCCGAGGGGATTTCCACACGTTAAAAAAAAAAAAAAAAAAAAAAGGGTTTTTGTCAAGTTTTCCTTCTCTCTGCAGTGCTGTTGTTTAGCGTAGTTTTTCCCTTAGTCGACTTTTACGACACCCACGGGAAGAAAAGGGGTGGTGACACGTTGTATTGTTAATCCGTCACCACGCGGAATAAAATCGCGTAAAATCGCTTAATCGCATAAAGCTTAAATTTAGACTTCAATGGCTTTAAATACTAGATCAATTTAACTTATCTTCCGATACTTTTACCAAACTGAACTTCAATTTTTAACATGGAGCCACAACCCTAACCTAAGTACTATGGGATATCGAAGTTCTGTAGAAATACTGTTGTCAGACTTTTTAGGGCTCCAACAACCCGTAACGATTGTCACAGATGTTTGTATGGCAACCGGGACCGACGGTTCAGAATGGGCACCCATCCATAGATTGACCTGGCTAGGATTGCTTAACTTTGCAATGTACTGACTAATAATTAAATTGTTATATTTGTGTGTGACAGATAGTTTAGGTGGCAACGTGGGCCTGGCCATCACTCAAGTCATAGGTCTGGTCGGCATGTGCCAGTACGGGATGAGACAAACCGCTGAAGTGGAGAATCAGATGACATCGGTAAGTCTTTATTTTAACATAAAAATTAAATATGTGAAATGATCAGGAATACCTAAATTAAGTTCAAGTATTTTTTGTACAAACATACATGAAACGGACATGAAACATTTCAGGTTGAAAGAATACTCGAATACCAGAACTTACCACCAGAACAGCCCGTGGAGACAGATAAGGAGGCTTTGAAGAAAAACAATCCTGATTTGGACTTCGAGAAGTGGCCCACTAAAGGTAACTACCATATCGTAACCTTATTCTTAATAATTGTGAAAGTCCGTGTGGTGACGGATTAACAATACGCAGTGTTTCCACCCATAGGGGTGGAAACACTGCGTATTTCCACCCCTATGGGTGGATTGTGGATTATAGTGTGGATTATATGGATGAATAGGGGTGGTGACACAAAACAACACTTTTATTAACAATAACTTAACTGAATAGCTTACAATAGGGCACTAGAATATCGCTTCAATGTTAATCCCTTGTCTTGTAAAACAACACTGTGTCGAACGGCCAACACCCTCCGCTTATATAGGGCCACCGAAATTACTAGAGCAATCCCGAGGATCCAATAGAACTTTACAGACATACCCACGTATATTAAAGAATCTACAGATTTGTATGAGCTTTATTATCTTCCGATATTCGACACCAGATGGCGCTGCAAATATCGGAATTATGAATCGCAATATTACAACGCGTGGTGGTTGTTGTGCATCACTTGATACTAGATGGCGCTGTCCTCCAAATTTCATACAACTCTCGATTGTTCACGGACTAACTACACAATACAAGAACCATTTAATCCTATTGCGCAAAAATATAAACCCTGTGAAAACCCATAATGTTCTCTTCTAGGTGAGATAGTGTTTGACGACGTATCGTTGGAGTATGAGAAGCTGCCTGGCGCGGCTGGTGAGCCTAATTACGCCATTAAGGGGGTGAACTTCTCCATTAAGGCAGCCGAGAAGGTAGCGGTGGTGGGGAGGACCGGAGCCGGGAAGAGTTCTCTACTTAGTGCTCTGTTTAGGTAAGGACAATATCATCTGTAATCCATTCGCTTTAAGAAAATAGTGACGCATCGATAAAATCTCGCACCTTGACCAATCAGGTTTCAAGAAATTAGCACTAAGTACGCAAGCTTAGAACCTGATTTGTCAGGGTGCGGACGTGTCACCACCCTCTCATCCAGTGGGTGTCGTAAGAGCCGACTAAGGATGCACTGCAAAGAGAAGGAAAACATGTCACAAACCCTATACCAACTCGTCTGGCCAGCGGGGTACAGTAGGCCAAAACCTCCTATCCAAGGAGAGGCCTATGTACAGCAGTGGACTACTAAAGGCTGTTGATGATGATAATGATGACTATGAATTGTTATTTACTTAAATGTATTTTCGTAGTGAGTCTTCTATAATACAATACAATACTCTACAATATAGAAGTCTCTTTCTCTTACAGACTCGCCAAAGTATCAGGTAACGTTAAAGTAGACGGTGTAACGGCAGAGACAGCTGGACTTCGAGCCTGGAGATCACGTCTCTGCGCCTTGCCACAGAGGCCTGCACTCTTCGCAGCAGCGCTCAGAGAGAACCTGGACCCTGAGGGCATCTACACCGATGCTGATATATACAAAGCACTGGATCAGGTAACTTTATACATGAAGGAATATCTGACGACGGGCCGGTTGGCTTAGTGGTAGTGGCTCTGACTGCTAGAGGTCATAGGTTCGATTTCCATCAAGGACAAATAATTGTGTGATGAAGTCAATGAGTCTGTGTTTGAGTGTAATTTTTTCTATAATATGTATGAATTTAGAACTATTTCAGTATGTTCATCAGCACTGTAGTCACCATAGTACAGGCTCTGCCTAGTTTGGGTCAAACTGCCGTGTGTGAGATGTGTCTAGTTATTATTATTAATATCTTTCGCATTTAATTTGCACCCAGAGAAAAAAAACGTTGTGTGTTAAAATTGTAAAAAAAAACTTGATATGTGTATACTATACAGGTCGAGTTGAGTATGTTCTTTTCATTATCTTTTCCAAAAACCGACTCCCACTTCTTTTCTATGTATAATGTGTATGTATATACAACAAAAAAGTATATAAGTATTGTATCAGTCAATCTAGCTTTCATAGTACAAGCTCTGCTTAGTTTGAGACGTTGTGTGTCAGATGTCCGAACAAATATGTCCGTAAACATTCTAATTTTATTTGCATCATGGAGGACTTTGAAAACAAACAGACACAGTGAACAAATAACTGGTTGTCCTTTTTCCACCATACAGTAAATAAATGAATGTGCTTTCTATTAATAGGTAGAACTCCGAGAGATGGTTTCTAATCTCCCCGCCGGGCTAAATACGAAGGTGGGAGATGGAGGGGGGAACCTGTCTGTTGGCCAACGGCAGCTCGTCTGTCTCGCTCGCGCCGCCCTCGCAGGGTGCCGGGTTCTGATCCTAGACGAGGCCACGGCTAATGTTGATACTGAGTAAGTCTGGTATATTTGTAATATTCTTTAATAGTTATATATTTTCTATCAGTTGTTTGTTTTTTAACCGACTTCAAGAAAAGAAGAAGGTGCTTAATTCGGTTATTTTTCATGTCCATTATCCTAGAAGTCAGTAATTTATGAACCGCTCCTTTCTGGGGGATGTGGGCACTTAAAGGGCGGGAACGCACTTGAGCCTCAAGTGTCTACGGGTACTCACTTACCATCAGGTGACCAGTACGTGCACTGTAATATAGTAAAAAAAAAACCTTGGCTCAAACTGAGAGGATAATCACGATTTTTTGTGTATAATATAGTCGATTCGAATCCGTCATCGCTTGATTGCAATCTGTTACCGTAAACTATTGCGGTAGCACCGTTTAATAATACTGTAGTTCATTCGCGTTAAGAAAATAGTGATGTAGTAGTGACATACCAAGCGATAATTTCCTGGAACCGGACTGGTCAGGGGGCGGGGCTTGATCGATGCGTCACTATTTTCTTAAAGCGAATGGACTTTAGGAATTTTGATGTTGACTTCATTAGATTTTTAAATTCCCTAAATATAATAGTAAGTTTGTACCAACAGGACGGACAAACACATCCAGCGTACGATTCGCAGCAAATTCGCGCACTCAACAGTGCTCACTATAGCGCACAGACTCAACACCGTCATGGACTACGACAGGGTCATCGTTATGGACAAGTTTGTTTGTTTGTTTATTTACCTGTGACACACAATACAACTATTTTTACAGGTTTTGTACGTAATACAATAGTGTGACCATTCGTTGTTAAAAAGAATAAATAGTACCTATTACCGTCCGAGTCCGTGTGGTGACGGATTAAGAATACGGAATGTCACCACCCCTATTCATCCCCTGGGTGTCGTAAAAGCCGACTAGGGGGACAAACTACGCAGGACAACAGCGGCAAAGAGAAGGAAAACTTGACACAAACCCTATACCAACCCGTCTGGCCAGCGTGGTATAGTAGGCCAAAACCCCCTTTCTAAGGAGAGGCCTATGTTTAGCAGTGGACTATTCAAGGCTGTTGATGAGTACCTATTACATTCACAATTTTAACAACCTTACTCATCCCGCCCTCATCACGGCAGGCAGACCGACAAACACACTTATATACTTCCAAACACACACACCACAGACAAACCGCTCCCAGGCACAGCACCTACTAACCCGCTTATCACTCAACTACTCGTCCCGGGCAGACGAGTTAATATCCATCATCATCATTTATCATTCACCGGACAACATATCACGCTTATATCCCCAAAGGGGTAGACAAATGCGTAATACTCTTGCCTTTCTTTAACTTTTGCCCGCGGCTCAGTCGGTGTGTATGTCAGTTATCGCGGTAAAATGTAGCAAGAATGTAAGGATTTTTAAAATCGGTTTAGATTTTTAGTTTTAGTTCGTGAAAGCGGACAAACAAACTGACTTTCACATTTATAATATACTATATTTATATATAAATTTGACGGATGGCGTAGTGGTTTAACCGGTCGCCACACCGCTTCCTACTGCGCCGAGTGTTGTGGGTTCAAACCCCACATGGAACGACACTTTGTGTGATCCACAAATTGTTGTTCTGAGTCTGGGTGTTCTTTGTGTGCGTTTCATATATGTTTGTAAAGTCCCCCGCGACACAGGAATGTATTCCTACTGAAATGAAATGATATTTATTTCTGTAAGTAAATCTTTTCAGATATTTTTACAAGTCGGACTTTATACTGCGGGAGTTGTCGTTTTAAAAAAATAAAATAATTCGTGTGACGTATATTATGGATGGTCCCTTATTTGACAAAGTACAATTAAAATTCAGTTTGTCTATAACTTGCTCTGAAAATTATTATATTGATATATTATGTTCTACATCCAGGGGTCGAGTGGCAGAATCAGGTCATCCATTTGAACTGTTGACCCAAACGTCATCACAACCCAAGGACGGCCCACCGAGAAGACTGTCCATGTTATCTAAAAGCCAGGTAAGACCCAAAAACTAAGTAAGTAGATATAATTTTATGATGACAGGCCTGTTGATCTTGAGGTTAGTGACCCTGACCCTGACCGCCAAGCCAGAGGTCGTAGGCTCGATTCCCGGCTCGGACAAAATGTTTGTATGATCTGCAAATATTTGTGTCGGAGTTTAGGTGCTTTTGCAAAAAAATATGTATAAAATTATTCTATCAGTCAATCTAGCTTTCATAGTAAAAGCTCTGCTTAGTTTGAAACTAGATGGCGTTGTGTGTTAGATATACGAAATATTAATATTATTAGTTCTGTGTTTGGGTGTAATTCATCTATAATATGTATGTATTTAGAAATATATAAATATGTTTATCAGCAGTCTGGTTACTACAGCACAGACAAAGTCAAATTATTATCTACACATTAATTTTGATTAAACAACAATAATTATATTTCCAGGCGCCTCTAGCCATCCCAGAGAACTTCACGTACGACCCGAGCAACGAACAAATAGACCAGAACGAAACATTCGTACTCGCGAAGGACAGAATACGAACATACTCCAATAGGTGAGTAGTTCTTTAATAAATCCTATTTGTATCCTGTTAAGAAACTATATCCAACTTTTCTGTCAAAAATATTTATGAGAGAAAATGGACATTTTGAAAGAATTATTTATACGCTATACGCAAATGAAGAGAAGGGATATAAGAGCCATGACGCCCTTTGAATGCGTCCTCCTCCCTCCCCCTGAGAGTAAGGGGGGTACTCTAGCTCCAACTCACTCACATCATATCAATACAGCCTTTAATAGTCCACTGCTGGACATAGGCAGGACATATTTGTGTCAAGTTTTCCTTCTCTTTACATTGCTGTTGTCCTGCGTAGTTTGCATAGGGTGAAATAGGCATGGTGACACTCCGTGTTCTTAATCTATCACCAAACTCTCATTATTCTCATTATCATCAGTGTTAAGTTTTTGTGGAATAGGGGAGCAAACAAACATACGGGTCACGTAATGGAAAGAGACACCTGCAGCTCCAGTAAAAAGTGCGTTACCCCTTGAGTCCCCCCTCAGAATTAGGGAGGGGAGTGGGGGGTGTCTCTTCGGTAACGTCACTCAGTGAAAAGCAACGGAAATTTGTTCAATTGTTCAACTTGGTTAACAGAGTCCATATTGCGCCTAACTTAGCAGAGAACATCAAGTGAGGTGCCGCGTATCGATGTGCTTATAAACACTGTATAGTGTAATGATGGTAATTTCGTCAGGTCCGAGGCCTCAGAGGTGGACACCGGTGGTTTATTCAAAGCGCTCGTCGAACAGACTGGCCAGGAGTCCGCAGCCATGTTATACAAAATGGCCGAAGAGGTAACGTGTAATTTATAATATAAAAGTTCTCGATTTGACTGTATTTTGTGTATAATTGTGTATATATACGCTTATTAACACGATCACGAATCATTAATAATTAATTATTAAATTATTATTCCATCCGCGTTAAGAAAATAGTGACACATCGATCAAGCTCCGCCCTCTGACCAATCAAGGTCCAATCTTGCGCGGGAAACGCATATTTTTGGCACCTGATTGGTTAGGGGGGCGGGGCTTATAACTGCTATACAGTGAAGTGCCGTATACTTATCCATGGATAAAAGATTCGTTTATATTTTGTTTTGGATAAAAGATTCTTGAACGGATTTTTTTTCAATATTAAAGTTTATTACATTTATAAAACGCCAACCCTCCACGGGACTTCGAAATTCCTTTTAATTTACCTGAATAAAATGAAAACCATTTTTTTACAGAGTTATAAGAAAATGCAAGAATCGAAGAAGAATTCGTGAATTGAAATAGCGGAAACATTCCTGACTGCCATTTTGAATCGTAAACAGTAATTTAATTTTTTAAATAGATGTATTAACTTCCATCCTAGTGAGATAAGGCTGTCATGGTATGAATGAATGAGGTAACATCGTCCCAACTGTACTTAGTATATTTGAGATAAGGTGATTTTTACTATGTTATATGTATTTGCATCCTTTTTCCACTTATGATAATATTCACAAGTAAAAAAAATGAAAAAGAGAGGATGTTGAAAAAAAAAAAATAAATATCCAACACACTGTATATTAATTGGATTTGAAGGTGTACTAGGATATACTATACAATGGTTGGCACTTTAAGGATTCTTTGATCAGTCATTGGCACTAACATGAATTACCATTTTTTCGATATCATCCACAGCCTTTAGCCTAGCCTATAGTCCGCTGCTATACATAAGCCTCTCCTTAGAAAGGAGGTTTTGGCCTACTATACCACGCTGGCCAGACGGGTTGGTATAGGGTTTGTGTCAAGTTCTCCTTCTCTTTGCAGTGCTGTTGTCTTGCGTAGTTTGCTGCCTTAGTCGGCTCTTACGACACCCACTGGATGAATGGGGGTGGTGACATTCTGTATTCTTAATCCGTCACCACGTTTTGATATACCCATATAAAATCATGATTTAGTAACAAGTTAAATAAAAATAACATTATAAAGAAGTTTAGTTTTAGTTAACTTACGATCTGTATATATAAAAATGTGAGGTTGGTTTGTGTGCGCTTCAAAAACTTTAAAAGTGCCGCATCGATTGAATATTTTTAACACATCAATATTTAATATTTTTGTTCAAAATTAAGAGTGCCAATGACTAATGGAGCCACTAATAAAAAGTGTGTGTGGCAGCTCCAACGCACGACTGGAGTTTACTCCTTAAGACCGGTTCGGCTGCACACAAGTCTACAAGTTATACATAGTTACACATGTGAAGGTGCCGCACGATGAGGTTACGCACAAAACACATTACGAGGTCATTCGATCGATCAAATTGTACTCTTCAAATTTTTGAAAATCCTAATCCTAGCCTACTATGAAAATCGATTCTGAAGGAGTAAACTCCAAAAAAAATTAATTGATATGTTATTTTCTATTCTTTGCCGTCTGTACGCCAAATACACATAAAACCATCTGGAATGCCATAATTAGTAGACAGAACCGTCGAAGTGCAATGGTGCCTGAGAAATATTCAATTACTAGTACTTAGACTACAATGGGGTCAATTTAAAAATGCCTTAATCCCCCCCCCCTCCCTCCAAATAACATTGCCTTCCTAAAATGTACTTAGTTTTAGACGTGACTTAAATAAGATGTACTTAAAAAGATATTTCTTTGTATATCACTGAATTAAATTCAATTAAAACCAAGGACTTACATTTTGTGTTGGGTTCTTATATTACTCGCTAATTCAATTATGAGATTTGTATTCAGAACTGAAAAATAAAAAAGTGCTATAGAGATTATAATTTTGAATTGTTCTTAATTTAAATGTGATACCATAGAGATCTACTTAACATAGTCTTATGTTGTAAGTAATCTTTACATACTTGTAAAAAAAATAGATCTGTCAACACTACGAATCGAAATTTATCGCAATTAAAATAGTCCTTTATATAGTTATATTAAAAAAATATAACTGCTTTTTTTTATTATTCGAATTTAAAAAATACTTTTTGAAGTAAAACTTCTTTACGCACGCTTGACTTGGTGAGTAACCTGGTGAGTGCGTGACGAGAGCGTTACTATAATAGTACTATATCGTAAATAAATATATGTATATACTTACCAAGTTAGGATTTTGATAGCGCGATGTAGGCTCGAAATTGTTGAAATGCGTGCTTCTGATGATTAAATAAAAGGTTGTTCTACTGCCTTATACAAAACGTCTGCATTTATAACTAGGTGCTTCCTGATGTACAAGTTTACTTATGGTATTTAGATAAGTAATAAAGAATAATCATTCTTATATAAAAAGATAAAAGAATCATCTTAAAAACACTAATCTAAAATCTTTTTTTAAAGATACCTCCGAATTGAGTTTTGATAAGTTTCGTATCATTCATTCTTGCTATTTGAGGGAGCGAATTTGTGAAAAGAGACGGAACTAGGTAACAAGATGCCAGCAATGCGCGCTCTTTTTGATTTGACACTTGACACATGCGCGCGCAGTGCAACCGTTGTTCGTCAGATTAAATATGAGATCTCAGATGTTAAACATCGTATGCGACTACTGTAATGCTCATTTTTTTTTTGTTTATTCACTTAAGTTATAAAAACCAATATATTTCTTAACTCCATACAGCAGGGTCTAAAGTGCAAAGCCATTTTCACATCCGATGTATATTCGTACTCTATAAGGATTAATTTAGTAAAACACAAAAAAGTCATCAAAATTAAAATCTATTTACTCCTTTAAAACTTATCGACTGTAAATAATATTTTTTAAATATTAAAGAAATCTTGTTTATTAATTTAAGAAACATAGTCGTATAGAGGAATATACTACAGTAATTTATCTTTAAAAACATTTTTGAAAAGCATTTTAGGTCCAACCGAAACGGAAAGCCATGGACGGAGGTAGTCACTTGCAGTCAGCTGACCGAGGTACTCGTTTGCCCCCATACCATGAAAAAGGTCCAGTATATAACTGACGAGTATTTAAACTACTGTGTACCTTATGTACTGCGTAACGTGCTTTTTGTTAGTCGCCATGAGCTGCCATCTTAAAAAAATAATTAAATGTTATTACATCTTACCTCACTTAATATGTTCTCTTTCGTGTATTTGGATTGACGTTAGTAGAATAAAAATAGTAATAATAAATATATGCTGTCGAATTTAATCTGTGGTCTTTTCAAGTATTTTTTTTTTCATTTAGTTCAATATTGTGATCTTAACCTGTCTGCTGGTAAGCTGGATTGAGGTCTAAAGGTTGTTCTTGTTGTTCGTCAATTAGAATTTATTAAATCGCGCGTAAAAATAGTAAACAGGTAAATATCAGCATACAAAAAAGTGTCGCTCAGAAAAGTATATATAGGTGGCGCTAATGTAGCTAGAGGTTCTAATAATGAAGGTGAATAAGCTTTTTCTTTGTAGTGACGAACCGTTAAAAGAAGTATTAATTAATAATTATAGCGTAAATTAAATCAAAAAAATCTATTTTTTTATCATTTCTTTGCGTCAAATACAGTTCAATTCGAAACTCCAGATAAACTCAAGAATATATTTATAATTTATACACTGTGAGGTTTAATATTTTTATTATTAATTTAAAAAAACGGTTTATTAAAAATTCAATTCTTTATTTATGACATTTTATTCTTTTGTCGACACATTTTTTTATCATTTAAAAAAAATGTTTAATATGACGTACTGGTGACATATGATGTACTTAGATAATTCGGTGGCATTTTGATGTGTGTCAGAAAGTGTATTATTTTAGACCATTTCTCATTTTAATATCAAATAAACAATTTACAAACGTATAATATTGTTCAAGACTATATCATTATTATAATGATTAATTTAAGCGTTTAAAACATAAATTATGTTTTACATAAATAGATGTGATACACAACAATTATCAGTATTTTTTCTGAACTTGAATTTGTTATTTTTAATTTAAACGGTTATTTTTAAAATATTTACTTCTAATTTAATATATTTAAATTTTGCCCTTTTATCATTAATATAATGTAAATAATTAAAATACTTTAAAAAATGTTTTGAACAAGTTGAAATTAGACTACTTATTATATTACTTGAAGTGTAAGTTTATGCAAAATTATGATAACTTCTCGAATTTTCTCTAAACTTATAGTAAATATAAACGTTTATATATAAAACTTGTACGTTTTCATAGAATTTCATAAACTACCTATGTAAAGAACTTAAAATGTGTAGCTCATGTCAAGTATCTTGCCTTTAATAAGTATTTATTATAAACGACCTGTCATTTAAATATGTCAATTAAATCTTAGCCAGTTTTAAACGATATTGTACCAGCTGGTACTAGGTTATTGAGTACTTACGACTTTAATGCTTAGTAGGAGTTATTTACTCGAGTTACTAGATATATGTAATACATTAGCTGTCATTAATGAACTCGAACATGTTCACTCGAGTTGTTTCACATCATATTTACTCACATATTACCACACACTCACACTCCAGGTAATAACTTCTTATTCAGTCGAATTTACTCACTCGAGTTAATTTCGTGACATTAAATATTGTTTATTTAAGTGAACGTTGATCTAAAAAGACTCGAAATAGATAGGCTAAAAACCTCGAATGTTTATAAACCTAAAGTTCAATTTGTCGTCCAATATATATGAAATAGACTTTGTATTGGAAACACGAGATTTAACGAGAATTTAAGGCATGTTGCTCTAGTTGTTTGTGAATTTAATAAATTCTATTTTGTTAAAGCTATTTTATGGCACCACATCGGTGCCATAAAATAGCTGATTAGACAATTGTATTGTTACAATTTCATACTTTAATATATCTTTCAAATATTATTGATATAATTAGGAAGTAATTTACCTTGCAACGGTAATAAGAAGAAAGTTGATTGTCAAAGTTATGATTAACAAGAAAGAGAGAGAGAACTGCTTAAAAGAGAAAAAGAGAGATTAATGCCCCAACCTTTTATTCCCGGACTATGTAAAAAGCCTTAGCTGTATTTAGTATTTATAACCTCGAATGATAGGTATATGTAATGCAAATATTTTGTCTATTATAATTTAATTTGTGTAAAATAATATTTTATATAGTGTGTAGTTATATTTTTTTTATAGAAATAAATGGTTTGGTAATCGATGTGTCAAGTTGTGCAAAATGTATATTTAAATTGTAAGGTAGGCTATATACAAGCTGGGACATTCTGGGACAGCATACAGATATTTCTGGCACTTTGCCCAAATATTATGGAAGAGTGTGGGCCTTGGATAAGATGATGAAGAGGATT